TACCATCTACGATGTTAGCGGTTGATCCGGCTCCCATACAATTCAAAACACGTACGCTGTAAAGACTAGCAGACGTAGCGATACCAACCGTAATCCCAGCAGAAGTACCTCCACAATGAGTACCGTGACCATTGCAATCGTCACCCTAAAATGTAATGCAAACAAATAAGAGTTGGTCATTCGAAAACCCCGTGAGGTATTATATTAATTGAAATTCAAGGGGTTGAAGCAGTGTCATTGTTGGTGATTTCTCAATAGTTAACTTCACCATTCATCTATTTTTGTATCGTTAAATATGTCACATCCACTAGGACATACCCTTAGCCGCATCAAAATCCCAGAAGTAGCTTGCGCGTCCCTGATATTCCTGATGGGTGTGACGCAGACCAGTGTCGATGATGTACACATGAGCACCGCTACCATCACCTGAAAATAAATAACGACCTGATCACAAAATCTAACACACACGCGTTTCGCATTACAATATTTGTTTGTCACAATAGATGTGAATAATTCTAAAGGCGTGAGAAATACTGACCATAAATATTCATTGCGCCATTAGCGGACGATTCCTCTGATCAATACGATCGCAACCCCACTCAACCGATGTTTTGTAGATACCGTCTTGTTCAATGTATTCTACATCGGGCATATGTTGAAGCTATAGAAAGATAATACAACCATTGCTAAACTTCTCAACGTTTGCGTATGACACATAGAGAATTATAGGTTGGTACATGGACGTAGAGCTTTAGAATGAACATATATTTGCATTGAATTGTTTTGTATTGAATTGAATTTTATTACATATAAAATAATAACTCACCATGCTGATATATTTGGGTAGGGCATTGACGGCAATACCGTTGAAAGATTTGTAACGTTTGGTCACTGACATTCGGAGTGCCGGTAGTTTCTTTACAAACTGGTCAATATTTTGGTCATCCTGCACAAATTACAAAAGTACGAGTTAGCGAAAATATATAATTGATAAGGAGCATTAAATTGAAATTAACATTATGAATATACCTAGTATATGCGTGTGGACGACAGGCAAATTTATGTATATTTGAGAACATTTTATGTTTTAGTTAAGCTCCTTGGTCAATTAATTCATACCTTAATTTTCACAAAGTAACTGTTTTCAATTGGGTCCCTGGCCTTGTAAATAGGTGCCAGAGAAGCAGCACTGGCTACGGCAACGAGTAGAGATATGATGAGTACACGCATGGTGAAGTCTGACATAAAGAAATACAATATATTTAATTAATTAACTTAAACAGTTTTTATGTATTGTATCATAGTGTTTATAACAAATCAAATTACTCACATTACATCTATAAGCAAAGAGTCATATAAGTATGTATAAACAGTCAATCCAGCTGTAATTACCTGTTCAATTGGTTCGAGCTGAATGGAAAACTCGACGATTATTGCCGATTTTGTGTATTTCAATAACCATGTTTTTGGTTAATCAATATCTTGTTTATCCGGTAAAGATTGATTTTGATAAAATATTGATAATGTGTCAAACTTTTGTGTTGATGAATGTGTAGGTGAGTGTCTTGGTATAGTCAAATTTCACTAAGAACAATCGGAAATATGGTCTACCGTAAATCACAGACTATTACATTAATTTTTATTAATTATAAGACACTGTTAATTTGTAATATACGTGAATATATATGGAATGTACGTGGATGTGAGTATAACATTCAAATCTCGTATCTCTTGTACATATGTTCAATTCCCAAGATTATCATGAGCCCATCCTTGCGGTCACATTGTTTGTTTTGAACTTTTCCAATCTGTGTAACCTGCAGGGTACATTATTCATTAATTGAGAAGATTATTTCTTCTCAATTTATTGGCGGTGTCATTAATTCTCTATTGGCCACATGTCCGATAACTTTACTACTTCTGTGTTTTTACAGGACAGAGCAACCCAATAAACCATTAGGTCGCTTGTATATATATATTGGTTTGTTTGTTTGTATATATATATTGTATTAGTAATATATATATATATATATATATTATTTT